TGAACAAGCACTCAACACAGTAATGAGGAAATGAAAGGGTTGAGGAAATAGAACCAGTTAGGTTGGTGAAGACAATGACTTGGTAGACCAGTTCCAACTGCTGTCTCAGTTGTACGTCTGGTTGGAGCGGCTGAGTATTTAAACTCGAGGACACACAGTCCCGGACACCCAGTCGCTGAGCACGCAGCTCAGGACACCCAGTCCTCACCGTATTCTCCTTGAACTAAGATCACACAAATCTTGCCCAATCACTCGTGGTAAGTCTTCAGGCGACTTCCAAACCTTCATAGACTTGGTCACTCGGTGATCCACAATTCCTCTTGGATGCTCTAGACCTTGACGCCTAACTGTCTGGAAGAAGCACAGTCTTCAAAGGTAACAAGTGTCGGATCCACGCAGGATCAATTTCTTTAGTGAGCTCAATCACTTTGGGTTTGTAGGGGTTTGGTTTTGGGTTTTCCTCACTCGATGATTTTCTCTCAAAGTCCTCGGAGGATGGGTTGCTCTCAAATGACAAGTGTCAAGTTCTCTCGGAGCAGCCAACCAGCTAGTGGTTGTAGGGGGGCTATTTATAGCCTAGGGAGCAGCCCGACATGATGAGACATAAATGCCCCTCAATGATATGACCGTTAGGTGGATAAGATATTTTGGGACAGCTGGCGCGCAGCACAACAACGGTCGGAAATTTGACTCTCAAATTTCTCAGGGCTATCATGTTCCTCACTGTGTAGGTAATTCGCACTGACGAATTCCTAACTCCTCAGTCAGAACAAATTCATCAGCGACCAGAAGAACTTCGTCTCTGTCACTGAAGAAAGTGACTGAACTGTATGAGATTTCCAAAGGCTTCACTCAAAGGGATTGGTAGGTGTAGGATTTTGAGTTGAGCATCACATGGAAATTTTTCCTTAGTATTTCCTCGACCCCCTTTAACAGTACGATGTTTCCTATGACTCAAGAAAGAGAAAATGAAACTACGAAAACAAAATTCTTCACGCTTCATGTTCCACAAATGAATACCAAGTCTTCAAGGTCACACCAATTTCTTCACTTTCAAAGTCTTCAGAAAGTCTTCAGAATATCAAAGTCTTCAGTTGAAGAACTTCATTTTTAGGGGTCGACTTTCTCTGTAAATATCAAACTCCTCATAGACTTATAGACCTGTGTACACTCACCAACGCATTAGTCCCTTAACCTATAAGTCTTCAATACACCAAAATCACTAAGGGGCACTAGATGCACTTACAGCAACTTTAATACACATCTGGGTGGATTGAGGTACCTGGGTATTCCAGGATTGCTTGTTTGTTTATGGACCGCCACCCAGGCTCAAAGGGATCATAAGATTATTCATGCTAGAAACTTTCCGTGTGCAGCCACATGCTATTATGGGCTCTAGCATAGTTGACTAAGTCGTGCAAACTCTTATAGTTGTAGACTAGCAGATGTAGGGGATGTAGGTTGGTACGGTCTACCCATCATAAGGTGCTAGCGCTTTTGAAAGACTATGTCTCGGTCATCCATTTCTCAAACACCATGTAGTGAGAGAATCCCAACGGAGGAGATCGAGTCTTGTGGGGAAAAGTGCGCAAACCTCTATAGAGTGTATAAACTAATCATGATTAGCCGTGTCCCCGGTTATGGACGTTTTGAATATCTAGTACTTGGATTATCATGTGAATCTCATCATGTTACTCTAATTAATATTGTTGGGTTTGTTTAATGATGATGTTACTTAATTGGGATTGAGAATGCTGTCAACCATTCTCAATGTTTAACAACCACCATGATAGTTAAATAAATTTATTCCTTTACAGTAGGGAAAAACTGGCTTTACGCAAAAACTGTAACCATAGAGCTCTCCACCAGCCATATATGCATGTAGTATAGCTTTATTCTTTCATTACTCTCTATGTGTTACTTTGCCAGCATATTTCATGTGCTGACCCATTTTCGGGCTGCAACATTCATGTTGCAGACTTTTCAGACGACGAGTAAGATGCCTTAGGATCGTGGTTCTATACTCGGTGATGCCGTTGGAGTTGATGGACTCACTTATCTTCCAAGCCTTCCGTTGTTATCGTTATTAGACGGCCTTAAGCCATATTTATTGTAATAAGTTCTCTTTGGAGACATTCGATGTAATAAGTGTGTGATTGCTACTCTGTTATAAATCTCTTCAAGTACTGTGCATGTCAGCATTACTGATCCAGGGATGACACTGAAGTACAGAGATCAGGCTGTTTGAGGTCTGGTCGTTACACATGTGAATGCGCATGAAGCCAGTAAACTTGGTGTAGTTAGTACCATCAAAGATCACCGGACAGCGAGGGACAACAACATAGCCTGATGCAGCAGACAAGTTTTTTGGGGGCAGAGATACGAAATCAGCAGACTCGGGAACGAGATCGGAGAGCCGCAGGCAGTCGATCCGAAGAACCACAGGGGCCGGCTGGAGAGGAGACCTGGGCCCTGGCATGACGCTGGAGAGGAGATTGGGGCCCTGGGCTGGCGGGACTTTCCCCTGCCTGCTTCGAGCGATCGGGAGGCAGGAGATCGGGGGCGCCTGCGGGACTGCTTCAAGCGAGCGGGAGTCCAGGACGAGCCCCCTGCCTGCTTCGATCGGGAGGCCTTCAGGCGAACGACAGGAGATCGGGGGCGCCTGCGGGACTAGCCCCCTGCTTCGATCGAGCATACGGAGAGGAGATCGAGCGGGACGGATCAAACACACGAGTTGCAGCGTGCAAAAAATTGACCTAGCTCTAATACCATGTTAGGAATAAGCAACTTGTATTCCCATGAGGCCATAGGCCGATATATATACATGTACAGGTGTGTAACATATGCAGGAAACCACTTATACAACGGGATAAATACAAAGGGATACATGACTTATATTATAACTCTAACAGAAACATGGTGACGTTATTTTTTAAAGTCAAAGCCTATTAGTAGGCGGTCTTGTTTGAAAGCTCTTGTCATAAGAAACATGAATATGCATCCAACAAATCCTAGTGTGGTTTCTGAAACTTGCTAATTATGTTTTCGCTGGTATCAAGGTTCAAAATGTGAAACTTGATGAAGTCTTAAAACTCATCAAAATGTACTCAAAAGTGGTCTTATTTGAGAGCCCTCGGCACAAGAAACACATACATCCAACTCCTATGGCGTTCACTCAGTTCAAAGGATACAAAAGATTCAAAATTGAAACCCAAAAAATGGGGTTGGTGCCCTGCAGCTGCATACCATAAATCCTCTCTCAAATTTGACGCATTTTTCTATGTGGATAGGTTCACTTTACTACAACAATCTCTAGACATGTCAAACCCGGCAGTGACATTTCACTTGCGGAAGTGATGTGCAAATGATACTTATCTGCACGATGCTTGCACAACACTAACACACTGACCTTACAGATTGAAAACAAGAAGGAGATCAACAGCTTATGTGAAACACCGTCCAAGGATCGTCATTTTTTGTCGTCCGTGTAGCATCACTCTTTCACTTGCTCAGCCTTCTAACAAATAACTTGCTCAAAAAAAATGTTACAGTAGTTTTTTTAAAAAAATTAAGGAGCATAGCTCCCAATTTCGTTTCAGGAAAAATGAAACTGATAAATACAGAACAACTGTCCAGCTGACCCATCAAAATAAAGGTTCAACAAAGCTAGTAAAACCTCACACCTCATACTTAATCCAAAAAACAGCATGTGAAAGCCAAAGAACCACAATATCTGGAAACAATTACTATTTAAACAGGAAAAATATGCTGATGAACTTCTAGCTCGCATGGGAATGTCTTCAGAAAAAATTTCAGCATACGAAGTGGAACTATACTCAAAGAAGAAGAAAGTACAAAGTACAGAAGTATTGTGGGAGCTTTGCAGTACTTGACTCTTACATGACCAGACATATCCTTTGCTGTTAATAAGGTTTGCCAATACTTGCATGCACCTATCACTATACAAATTATACGGTATGTGAAGCACTCTGTAAATTTGTGGATTCAACTTAGATGGTCAAGTTCCACACTTATGAGTGATTTTTCTGATGCTGATTGGCAGGCTACAGTGATGATAGAAAGCCTACTGGAGGTTTTGGAGTACGTTTTGGCTCTAACCTTATTTCTTTGACTGCTAGAAAACAGGATACAGTATCAAGATCAAGTACAGAAGCTGAGTATAAATCATTGTCCAATGCTACAACTGAAATTATTTGGTTGGAATCATTGCTTGAAGAATTGGAAATTAATCAACACCATATCTCATGTATGTTGTGTGATAATCAGGGAGTAACTTACTTATCCGTCAATCATGTCTTTCATGTCAGAACAAAACATATTGAGATTGATTTTTATTTTGTATGAGAAAGGGTTGCAGAAAAGAAATTGGATTCTGGAGATACGATTCATTCCATCCAAAGATCAAATTAAGGATGGCTTCACCAGGCACTCTCCGTCAAACCATTTGAATAATTCAAGAATAATTTGAATCTAGGATTGTTGAGATTAAGAGAGGGTGTTAGATCATACGGCAGGTAGTATCCTTGTAATCTCAACCTCCTGGTCGTGTGCATCTCTTTATCTCCATGTTTCTCTCTTTCATATATGCATCGGACTGCATCCATGTTATCGTCCAGCAACTTGTAATCCATGAAAGAGTTCCTGTACCCAATCAATAAATAGCACGCAGTTTTCCTCCTAGAGAGTAAGAATGCTTAATCTAATAATCAAAACATGCTATGTGCATCACTTTTATTCTTTCAACAAAGAACATTGGTTCACAATTAGACCCGCACAACCCCATATACACGAACAGTTCTGTAGCTTTGGCTAGAATTGAACCAAGGAATAACCAAAGAAAAAAAGGCACGCAGTGAAAGAATCGCCAAATTTTACAACATGAACTCGCTTGCAGGTTGAAGCAAACAATCGCCAAATTTTACCATGCATGCACACGTACGTACGTGCGCAGCTGCTGCACTACGTACGTACTCCATTTATTAGTAGTGGTTGATGGCGCGGCAGTTCTTCCTGATCTGGCCCTGGTGGCCGGTCTTGACCTCGATGCCGGCCATCTTCACCATGGCCTTCTCGAACCTGTCCTCCCACCATCCGGGGATTTTGGCGTTCTCCACCACCATCCTCGCCGTCTCCACCGAAGTCATGAGCGCCGCGTCGGAGGTGAAGAGCACCGTGTGCGACAACACGTTCTTGTAGTACTGCCTGTCCAGCTTGTTGGGCGTCACCACGTCCTGCATCACCGTCGGGTCGTTGCCGCCCGGCGTCGCGTCGGCCGGGCACTGTCCCCTCAGGAACGCGGCGAGGCCGCCGTTGATGTCGGAGGGGGTGTTGAGGCGGTCGGAGACGAAGGACGAGCAGTGGGAACGCCCGATGGTGTGCGCGCCAGAGAGGACGACCAGGTCCTCCGTGTTGAGGCCCTTGATGACGAAGCTAGCGACGAGGTCGCTGAGGTTGGACGTCGGCGGCGGCGCCAGGAACTTGAGCGGCTCGGAGGCGTTGGAGAAGGTGCCGTCGCGGCGGCCGGACGGCATCTGGAAGTTTACCTTGCCCCTGCTGAGGATGCAGGATGCGTCACGGGCCGCAAAGGCGACGATGTCAGCACATGAGACGACGCCCGGGCAGGCCGCCTCGAGGGCGTCCTTGATGGCGTCAATCAGCTCGAAGCCGCGTAGGGTAGGGTCGTTCGGCGGGCTGAGTTTCTCCGGCGTCGGGCTGAACGGGGTCGGGTCCAGGAGGACGGAAGCATCACAGCCCTAATAATCATCAGCTCAACGAGATTATTCGAGTCTGACTAATCAGCTATGTACGTACATACGTATATGTTTGCAAATTCGTTAGTACCTCGACGAAACAGTCGTGGAAGAGCATGCGGATCATGGCGGCGCCATTGCCGGGGTTCTGAGAGATGGCCTTCTCCATGACGCCCTTGACGACAGCCTCCGCCTGGGGGCATTTGTCGTGGTAGTAGCCGATCTCCAGTGGCCAGAAAGATCTGGCCTGGCACCCCACAGCGAGGAGCAGCAAGGCACAGGCCACCAAAACGTGTGGCTTTGCAGCAACAGCCGCCATTTCTATTTCTTCGAAGCTAGCAGCTTGGGTGCTTGCTTGCTTCACTAAGATGAAGCTATCTACCTCGATCGGTGGATATAGGAAGAGAGAAGTGTGAGAAGTTGTCGATCGGTGGAGAATGCCTTATGTTGATATACCTCGAGCAGGAAGCTATCTACTTATATAGGTGGACACTCGAGGGGAAATACACTTTGGAACCTGCATGTATATACACCCTATATGGGATTTTTTTATTATTTTAATAAAAAGTCAAAATAGGTAAGAACTATTTTGACAAAACACTTGACTTACTTTTGCACTAGTAAAAAAATCTGGATGAAAAAAAAAACAAAAGTTGACTTCACAGCAAAAAAGACAAAATTTATTTGCTATTATAGGTCACTATTCACACTATTTTAGCCAAAAATTTGTCTTTTTTGAAAAGAAGTCAAAGGGATATTTTTTTTGTGGATTTATTTTCTCACGAGTACAATAGAAGGTCAAGTTTATTTCACAAATATTTTCAGGAATTTTCAACTTTTGGTTGAATTACTATTTTTTTTGCATATAGGGTGTATATACACCCATAGACCAAAAGTTCCCTCCCGACACTCGATGACCTAGCTTGTCCGAGAATATATGCACATATATGTTGGCATGTGCTTAAAATTAACAATGATTATCTTGGCTTCTTTGGAACGTTACTACACCGGGTTGTTGCCACCGATCGTCATTGAATTCGCTGCTCCCACCGAAAACTAATCAAAGGGCGTCTAATGATATCATACACAAATAGTAAACAAACAGCTAGCTGTTTACTATATGAAGCGGCCATATGCATAAGCTGGAGCTAGCTATTTCGAAATAGCTGGATCGAGCAGCTGATTGATGTAGCCGGCTCCGTGTTTCTTTCTTTCCTGTTTTGTGTATACGATACAATACGATCCACCGTACCAGTGGCAGATGGGGACGCCTGTTTTCCCGGTCGTTGAGACGTCACATACGTTAATGAAAGAACGTTTCATGTGTCGTCTTCTTCTTCTTTTTTTGGCGAGGATAAAGGGAGCTTTATTGCAAATTCATAGAGTTATAGTTGAGAAGCCACAAGACCTCAATACAAGATGGAATTGCACGAAGCCAAACAGCGGTGGCACGCTCCATTCGGCTATACTTCGCCAAACAATCGGCAACTCTATTTTGTGAACGACTAAGTTTCTGAGGTAAAAACTCCCTACTACCAGCTAATAGTAAAATCGCCAAGACTAACTGGCCATAAGCTGACCTCCGCAAGGCACCCGAGGACAAGCACGACAGCGCTTCAGAGGAATCTGACCGTAACACCACCAGACAGTTTGATTGTTGGATGGCAAGGGCCATACCTTGCATCATCGCATGAAGTTCGGCCTCCAATGGATATAGCGGTAAGCCGCAAATAAGATCACCCCCTCGCTGTTCCTTAAGACCATCCCAGCCGCCACGGCTCCATCCTCCCGGTTACTACGAGCCGTCAACAGACAAGGCCACCGTACCCTGCACCGGAGCCGGCCAAGGCAGCACAGGAGCAGGACCCTTTAGACACGGCATCTCAAGGGAGACCGTTGGCATTTTCCCTTTGATAATATCATCAGTTGAATACTTGCCGACGAGGTTGATGGATTTGTAATAACAGATTTGCTATTTTACATCTAGATGTAAAATAATTATCTCACATCTAAGTCCACAACCACAGGATCAAACTGCTATAAGATTTGTGCAATTGACAAATAACCTCGTAGACTGTCTCCCGTGTGTGAGTCTGGGCCATTTTTGTCCGCTTAGTCCGTTTGTAGATGTGCCCCCGTGCCTGGGCCTCAGGCCTTTTTATTTTATTGTAGTCATTTGTTTTTTCAGCAGTTGGCTGCGTTTTCCTTTGCAAGGCTGTGCTATGACTAGGACGTTTTTCTTTCGTCTGTGTCAACTTCCGTTCCACACTCTGTCATTGTCTTTTTGTTTGTTTTCGTTTTTATTTACTTTTTATTTTTTATTTCATTTTAGTTTTAAATTATGAACTATATTAAATTTATGATATTTTGTTTTTGTTACATTTTGTATTTTAAGATTTCCGTTCCTTTTTTATTTTCCCTTTATTTCTTCTTTATTTATTTGTTTTAAATTCATCAACCTTTTTCACTCTATCATCCTTTAACTTTAATTATTGTGCAAATATTTATTGTGGGTCCTTTTTGTCTTGCGGGGCCCGTGTCATGCAGTCTGTCCGGTGTCTACTTGTCGACATGTTCGCACGTGCGTCTTTTGTTGGATCGTTTTCACGGCGCGATCGGCCCCCCCATTTTCGGATTGGTTTTGCTAGTTTCATCTAGACGAGAGTTGACAATGTCTAATCTGACTTGTATATGGTCAGATACACATGTTTCTGAATCGTGCTCGTTATTTGCAAAAAAAAAGTCATGCTCGTTGTCGTTGTGTCATGTTTTTTGTTTCCCTCGTGAAGCAGTGAGGCCCGACATGACTTTTTTTAGTGGGTCATTTTTATGCTTGTGTATCGGGTTTCTTTTGTGGGCTATAGATTTCTTGTGAAGGGTGTATGTCCTTTCATTCCATGTTTTTTTATTTTTGGTTCGACTGTGTAGCTAGAGGACTATGTCACTATGCTTGTGTATCGGGTTTGTTTTTGGACTGCCACCCAGGCTCAAAAGGATTATACGATTATTCATGCTAGAAACTTCCGTGTGCAGCCACAAGCTATTATGGGCTCTAGCATAGTTCACTAAGTTGTGCGAACTCTTACAGTGGTAGACTAGCAGATGTAGGGGATGTAGGTTGGTACGGTCTACCCATCGTAAGGTGCTAGCGCTTCTGAAAGACTGTGTCTCGGTCATCCGTTTCTCAAACACCATGTAGTGCGAGAATCCCAACGGAGGAGATCGAGTCTTGTGGGGAAAAGTGCGCAAACCTCTACAGAGTGTATAAACTAATCATGATTAGCCGTGTCCCCGGTTATGGACGTTTTGAGTATCTAGTACTTGGATTATCATGTGAATCTCATCATGTTACTCTAATTAGTATTGTTGGGTTTGTTTATTGATGATGTTACTTAATTGGGATTGAGAATGCTGTCAACCATTCTCAATGTTTAACAACCACCATGATAGTTAAATAAATTTATTCCTTTGCAGTAGGGAAAAACTGGCTTTACGCAAAAACTGTAACCATAGAGCTCTCCACCAGCCATATATGCATGTAGTATAGCTTTATTCTTTCATTACTCTCTATGTGTTACTTTGCCAGCATATTCCATGTGCTGACCCGTTTTCGGGCTGCAACGTTCATGTTGCGGACTTTTCAGACGACGAGTAAGATGCCTTAGGATCATGGTTCTATACTCGGTGATGCCGTTGGAGTTGATGGACTCACTTATCTTCTTAGCCTTTCACTGTTATCGTTATTAGATGGCCTTAAGCCATATTTATTGTAATAAGTTCTCTTTGGAGACATTCGATGTAATAAGTGTGTGATTGCTATTCTGTTATAAATCCTTCAAGTACTGTGCATGTCAGCATTACTGATCCAGGGATGACATTGAAGCACAGAGATCAGGCTGCTTGAGGTCTGGTCGCTACAAAATGGTATCAGAGCACACGCTGACTGTAGGACACGACCACTAAGCAAAAGCCATAGATCACTACTCTTTCTCTTCTCATTTCTAACTCCTCATATTTTCTACTCTTCTAGGATGGCGGATGCAAGGAACAAGTTCATGCAACCGGATGAAGACACCCTTTGAACGCCACCTGAAAGAAGTTACCAAGTACCTGAAGATCGGAGTACCAAGCTTCACCGGGGCCTACAACGCCAATTTACCTGAAGAGGAGCGCTGGATGATTCAAGTTCAAGTTCCAGGAAGAACGTTCATGCCCGTCACTGAGCCCATAGAGTTTTCTTTTGATGCACCAACCTGGAGTTTAGGAAAGAGCATGGCAGCCCACGTTACCATGTGACGTATTGGAGAAGTTTATCACAAGGAGCTTAAGGATACTACCTACCAGATTTGTGGGCGCCGAGATGAGCAATGGGAGATGATCAACACTAGGAAGGACAGATCAATTGCAGCTTTCATACAGGAGTTAAACCAGCACATTCGACGCCAGGAGAACCAGATGTGCGCAGACATGATGGATCTGAAGAAGGCCATGACCAAGATCACAGAACTGGAGGAAGAACTCAAGTCTACACGCGATGGATATGAGGAGGAAGTAACAATGCTAGTCGAGAAGAATGAAGATCTAAAGAAGAAGTTAAGAGTATTCATGGGATTTCCAGCAACTGGAGAAGACGAAGATTGCACTTGTCCCGAGAACTACATCATCATCGACGACACTGACTCGGACCCGGATGATAGTGATGATGACTATGTAGATGAAGCTGGAGCAGATATCATGGAGTCTTCATCGGAGCAGTTTTTCTAGTAGACCACCATAACAGCAGTAGTATTTCCCTCCATGTATCTAGTATAGTTCGAGCACTTTTGTAACGATAGATAGACCGATTTATGCTCTTGTTTGTTTGAATAAAGTGTTTTGATTGAAATTTGCCTCATGTGCATATGGGTAGTGTTTTCCTCCTAGACCTCAATCTATTCTGTATTCTCATCTTTTCTAAACCCTCAGATGCCTCCGAGGCGTGACAACGGATTTGCTTTCCCACC